ATATCGATTTTTTCCAACGGCACAACGTAACACAAATTATATAACCTACCTATCAAAAAAATTAGGTTTGTTTCGACAAAAGTAGGGGGTGGTATAATTTTGTTTTTAATTATTTTCTTAATTGTCATTAAAGTTATCGATATCGCATTAGGTACGGCACAATATTAGCACAATCTAGTACAACTCAGCACAACTGAAAAATTTGAAGAAAACGTAAAGTGGGGAGCTGACCTAAAAAATTTGTTTTCAATTTTTAACATATTTTTTATATTATTGTTTTAAAATTCTAGCACAATATAGCACAAACCTAGCACAATTCAATACAACTCTCAAAATAAGTTAAATCTAAAAATAGGGAGCTAACTTCTTACCAGGTACTCAACAATTGCTCTACTGTGATTGCAGCAAATAATTGCAACATAACTGGTTGTTCCATATTTTACTATTAAATCTGGTTGGCACAATCAGATTTATGTGTGAGCTAATCACTCTGTTTTTTTCGTGTAATAGAACAACAAGCTAATCGGGTTAAAAATAGTGTAACGTTTAAAGAATAATGTACATACACAAAGCATTAAGAAAGTTCTAAAAAGCATGTTGTCAAATGTACTTATTTTATAAAAATTAAAATACTGAAATGAACAAAATAACTTATGCAAAACGTCAGATATAGAACTATGAACAATTTCATGATATTTACAAGAACGCTTTTAGACGTAGCTTTGTTAAATATAACCAGTAGCATATTTCTCACACTGGTACATTCCCCCCGGTTACCTTACTTGTAAAAGTAGTTTGTACTTAATATTAATATTAAAAATAAATAATCAAAGTGAGAGACATATATGTTAAATATTATAATATAAAAATAAAGAAAAATTGAATTATTAATTAATGTTTATCTTTGTTCTAATTATTAAAATGCTACAAAATTCTCATCCTGTCTATATCTTTCGGCAATTAAATTCGTTTTTTTTTTTACATGTAAAGGAGACCGGGGCAAACTCGACATGATTTTTTTACAGGCAATTTTCAACAATTAATTAAAATTTTCAAGCAAATTCAATGGTACACGTTTAAAGAGTGTTCTTTCAGGTACAAAATTGCTTAAGGAAGTTTTGCTGTATGTCGCTTAGTTTTGCCCCCAGGAAAGGAAAAGTAATGCGAAGACAAATTTTCAAATTAAAAAATGCTGGGGCAAACTCGACACTTTATCTAATCGACACAATTGATCTGGAACTTATTTTTTATTGTCTGAAACTAAAAATACAATATTGTTTATCGTGTCTTTGAAAAGTACAAAAATTCGGAATTAAGGGGATGCTGGAGCCGTAGCCGAACTCGATCAGCGTCGATAAAGAAGTGCTCACCGACTATATCTATCCTTGTATAGACAAAGATATAAACAAGGATAACACGCTACATTGCACGCACACATACGCACGATGCACATCGACATTATACTTTTATATTACGCTTCCAAATCTTGATTTGGAGGGTTTATCGATGTTTTTCTTGTTGTGCAATTCGGGGGAACTTGTTTTCGCGTTCGTACCAATGGTATATCTCTTATACGAAATACATCTTGTGACGAGCTGACAGCTCGCCGCAACTCGAAACGCCATATTGGGATAAAAGTAGGGATAAAAGTAGGATAAGGAAATCTGTACTTCCGTAATTTTTTCTCGTTTTCTATATAAAATCGGAGTTCCCCCGAATCATTAATGTATGTACTGCAATTCTGGAGAAGAATTTTTAATTCTGTCAAATTAATACGACGCTACGTGCCGACAAAAAATGCCGGTAAAACAGACAACCGGCTCCAGCATCCCCTTAAGTAAAACAATCATTGGAAATAATAAGAACAAAACTTGTTGAACTTTCAATTATTTTCATCTAAACTTATGTCTGAAAAACAATTTATGCAAGTAAATTCGCGATCGGGCGTGCACACACATTTGTCATGAGCCATATGGCTGCATGACAATTAAGCATCGTTTATTATTGAGAGCCGATGGAACGATGGTGTCGACTTTGCCCCGAACCTCGTTTTTCACTTTTGTCACTCCAAAAACATGAAAAATTTTAAAATATGCAAAAACTACTATCGGATTCGTATAGAGCATCAAATTTCTTATCAAAATCACTTACATATAGGTTCGCAAGAGTAAAGCTCGATGAAAGAGTAGAAATTTTCGAGAGATCAGAAAATTTACTTTTTACCATCAAAAACGCTCATGTCGCGCTAAAATTATACCATAACTCAAAATATCACCAAATTCCATTGATAATACTGGCATATAAACCCAAGTAGCAAAATGACGTCAGAAGACGACATAACGACGTCTATTTTTAGTCATTTTTGGACTATGACGTCGGCGACTAATAATGGACGTTTATAAGACGTCATTTCTTAGACCATCTAAAGACGTCATTTTAAAGACGTCTTAAAGTCGTCCAAATAAGGGTCGATTCAGACACAGCCGTGCCGTATCCGTGCCGTGCACGAAACAGAAACATCAGACAAGAATGGAGACAACATTAGACAAGGATGGAGACAATAGGTATCCTTGTCTGATGTTCTGTTTCGTGCACGGTACGGATACGTCACGGCTGTGTCTGAATCGACCCTAAGGTCTTTTTGTAATATAACTATTTTTACTTCTTAATATTGTATAATAAAGTAATCTCTATATATATAAAAATGAATGTATGTATGTTTGTCCGCTATGCAAATCTATAGTTTTCGAATTAGACCAACCAAATTTGATATACTATCTTATGATACTCTAATTTAGACCGTAGGTGTATTTTGAGAACCGTATCATTACCGATTTTTGGGTTCCTAAATTTTTTTGAAAATTTAGGAACCACCCATCCACGCACGCAACACGTTAGTGGACCGAATTTTTACCACAAGTATATGAAATAGGGGTAGAATTTCCCGGGGAATGCCATAAAGTGTATAGTTTTTTGTTACCGATTTTTTCCGAAGAGAGAGAGAGAGAGAGAGAGAGAGAGAGAGAGAGAGAGAGAGAGAGAGA